TTTTCTAAGAGGGGGCCCTCACTCTCCCGCTCTCATCTGTCACAGGTCCCTCTCCGTCCACGCTTCACAATGCCTGATTGTTTCTGCCAAGTCGCCAGGTTCCAGGCCAGATCTGAACAACGCTTTCCTGCCAAATTCCGACCCCAGTTTTTAGTTTTCTTCCACTCACAAAGGGATTCTAAGTTACTGTCCACGTTATAGAAGGGGGACTAGCTGTCCACCAGCAACAGTTTGTTTGTTGACTGTCTCTCTGAGCTAAAGGCTGTAAGAATTTCCATAGGCAACAAAGGAGGGAAGGTCATTTTAACCAAAATGCTCAAAGAGAACAGTAATTAACATTGCTGAGCATACCTTCATTGTGATTATTAATAACATTAGGTAGATAGCATTTACTAGTGTTATTCAGCTGAGATGTTAAGCCTACTTGTGGGATGATCTTCCCAGCCTGACTTGCTGCTCTTAAGAAACTCTAAAATGCATGAGGATAAGAAAAATTAAAACTCTTCACTCAACAGTGCATGCTCTGTTTAGTTTTCAAGCAGCCAATCTCACCAGTATCACTTTTCAAGAAATATTTGAGACAGGAGACCTGCTTTCAGGCGAAACAGTTTATGTTTTTCTATGTCTGATGTCTGACAATATGAAAAGGCTTTCAGAGAGCCTCAAGGCGACGTGTGTGAAAAATGAATTTGTTTTTCAGCTGTCGGTGTAACATTATAATCATGTTGCTGTTTCCTGAGACAGACTCCATGTAGCCAAACTCGTTCTTATGTTGGTCTTGATGGGAGAAGTTTGCTCCTTCAGCAATAATCACTCAATGTTTACCTATGTCTCAGTAGGGAAGGGCCTGAAATGGCCAGGCATAAGAGCTGTGAGGAAGTATTTGATCAGAGGTCAGAGATCAGAGGAAAAAACAAACCTTCAAAATGTATTTAATTTTTCAGATATATAAAGAATAAACAAAAAATGTTTATGTTGCAATGCCCATGCATCTTTTTAGTGCAGTGTTATCCCCTTTGGGATAGAAAATCTTATCTAAAAAAATTTGCATGTTTTTTTGCAAAAGCATTGATGTCCTGTTTTAGTGATGGCTGATATCTCAAAGTACAGCACACAATCTCTCTATTTTTCTTCAATACAGTAGAATTCAGTTTGACTTCATTGGCATGGGAAACAGATGTTTATATTTTCAAAGCAAGTGTGAAATAATAACATGAACATAAATAGAAGAATTGTGATTTTATTATTAAAAAATATATGTACACACTTTTCTTCATGAGAGTAACAGCTGCAGACTGCTCCTCCTCTCCCTCCTCCATTAGTACAACCCATTATGGTTTTAACAGATTTTTGTACTTTATTCTGCCACTGCTTTTTAGTGAGTGGAGTTGTTTAATTGTTTTTCATTTACACACTTGTTCTGGTATAATTATTCTGGTCATCAGCTCTGTTTCCCATGTGATGTTGAAAAAGCACAAGTGTAAACAAAAGTAACAAGTCATTAATTGTGTTTATTTGCATTACTTCATTACTTGGTGAACTCTCTGCCAATGATTTTAGATAAGACCATCTGTAATTTGGTTAAACTGTGCGAAAAAGACCAACAACTCTAGCAAAAAAAGTGTGTTTGTAAAATTTAAAATGGACACAAATCCTCACCATTCATTTAACACTAAGAAGTCATGTGACTAAAAACTACCGTAGCTCCTGAACTCATTCCACAGCAGTAAATTGGTAGAGCTTAACATTTACCATGTTAGTTAACAATGGAGTCACCAAAACACTACAAATGTGATTCTTTGCCTGATGATGAACGCATTAAGTATTCTGTTTTCCTGCCCCAACCAATCACAAAAGGCCTTGTGGTATGCTTACCAACAAACCCCTGTACTGTTGCATGATGAGACCATATCAGTGGCAGCGAGTTATGAGCCTGGGCATTCCTGGCCATATGAGACAGTTCATATGACAAGTTCCAAGAAACTAAGTCTTAAGCTCCCCCATAAACACAGCACCAGCAATATTGTCAGCTAAATTTAGACTCTCGTCTGCCTTCCCTGTCCCCTGCTCCCCATCGCTCTCTCATCGCTTCAGTGTTGGTTGCAGAAGTTGATCATGGATTAGAGATTTGATGTTTGTTGGTTGTCTGCGGTCTTATAATCTAATGTACTCGCTGTGTAAAACAACGAAGGTCTGGAGACAGCTGTTGCTTTTTCAGTCAGTCAAATCAGGCAATGGGTGGAGCATGTTGGCAAAATAAACTACCAATAAAGTTTTAAACTAAACACAATTTGAAAAGTCAAACTTCACCTAGACTTCAGGAGAAATGACTATAACCATTTTTTATGATCCCTAAGACTGACAGATGGCTTACCAGGTGCTGCAGTAATGGTGGTGGTAAAAAAAATTGTGCCTTTATTTATATAAAAAAAGGGTTATCAGTCTAGCATTGTAAATATGCCTAAGTCTTAAACATGCTCAACAGAAAATGCATCTAAAACCACTAAAACCACTCTTATTCAACAGGGAGCTGTGGCTAAATGACACCATGTATATTTTTCTGTGAGAGGAACTGAGTTGGGTGATAATTATCTGTAGATTGTCCTTACAAGCTTACCCGTTCACATACACACAGTCATTTGATCCATTGTGTATAGAAAACAATATTGATTATAGAAGCTTCAAGTATTTAGCTTGTGCTCTGAACTGGACCAACTTACAGTGAGGTAACGATAGAATTATCTTCAATTCCCTTATTATCAGTTTTGGGAACAGTACGCCATGCAAAGGTCACTAAATATTGCAGCTGGTTTCCAATCTACTGCAGAAAGTGTTTTAGACATGATGGTGTACTTTAAACAGTTGAGGTAGTCTCAAGTCCTATGATTTTTAGTCACAGCAAACAGCATTCTGACTCAGGTAGTAGAGTAAAAGACTACATGCACAGAACACCATGACCCTCAGAATCACATGGAAACGAACTGATGATGTACAAATGGCTTATTGGTGGTTATACACAGAGTGCTCTCCAACTGTTACTGCACACACAGCTTGGATCTATGCTTGCATACAGTTTTTGCTGCCTTATTAATGCTTTTTCTCTGTCTATTTATCATTTTTCTCTCAGTTTCTCACATTGACATTTGGTTTCAGTCTGTTGTCTTTCTCTTTATCAACTCCTTCCCATAAATGATGTATTTTCAACTTTTGCTACCTCCCCACACATGTACTCTGTAGCCTTGCTCTTTCCCTTCAGACATTTGACTGAGAGTCAGATTTACGTTTAAAGGCACCCAGGATATATTTGACACATATTTCAGAGATAGACAGCCTGCTGTGATTTACTGATCGCTAAAACTGAAGTAGCAATCTGTTTTATGTTGCAGACGTTGTGTGTATGTGTGCGCTCATGTGTGACTGGTGTGCTGAGTGAGGGACGCAAAAACAATTGATAACAGCCTGACCCTCTTTATGCTGGGATTTGCACTGTCACTTATCATCTAGACATTTTGTGTGGGTGTATGTTTGCTTCTATGGAATTGTTTGAGTGTGTGCGTGTGTGTTGTGTATAATTCCTCACAGTACAAGCACTACAACATAGGATAGAAAGATGGGGAAAATCCTTAAAAGTGTGCTTGTGTTTAGATTTAATTTACAAATTAAGAGCTGAGATTAGGAATGAATGGTTAAGGGAGTAAAAGTGGTCAATGAAATAATCGTAACTATAGTGCAATAAAGAGAAGTCATTACAGTAAATGATGTATTAGCCTAATGACTCTCCTGGCCTGAGGCTTACATTAGAAAAAGGAGATATTTTTCCATGAAACTCAGTAGCACAGCGTCTGCTTTTTTAACAGCTCTGAGGTGATGAAAGGCCTGGATGGTGCTTAATGGATTAATAGATTATCCCCATGGCAGTATGTGCTTGATGTGTGTGTGTGTTTAAGGAACATTCAGCATGAATGTGTTGCCGTCATTATAAGTTGCTCAGTATGAGCGTGTCCAATAAATGCCAAAAATATGATGATGTACTTCAAATTGCTTGTGTGTGAGTGAGCTGTAATTACATCTTTAGCATTAATTTGTCTGTATTTTAAATAAAGTTATGCTTCTGAATTAACTAGTCAAATGCATGGTTCTGAAATCACCATTTTTTGTCTGTCCTCTATATATATGTAGTCAGCGGCGAACACATTTTTTAAGATGACTTTACATGCTCAAAGTAGGGGACCCTACATTTGTTCAAACAGTGCATATTACTGTGGACCACAATTCGTGTCCAATAGATATGATGCTTGATATTTGAAAAAAGTAAAAAGAAAAACAACCCACCAAGATGTCCATCTGTCCATCCAGTAACTATATAGACACGAAATGGCATGAGCACACTTTCTAAAACATATGCAATATTTGTTGAAAATTCTCAGAAAACAGTCAATAATAAATACAAATGCACAAAAATACATGTCAACAACTTTGTATACTTTTTTGAAATTATAGCAGTAAAAATGCATTTAATAAAGATGAACATATACGGTAGAACCAGGATGGACACTAACACACATTTGACAAAGACACCCAAGGAAACTGAGAAGCATGAGAAATGAAAAAGTAAATAAATATATTAAACTAATTCTAAATACTAAAATATGATTTAAATCAGGTACATATCTAAATGCACAAAATATATGTGCACCTTAAAATAGTAGAGAATTGAATTGTACATTTCACAAACTTATTATACAAAAATGTTCCACAACAACCTCATCAGTGCTTCTAGGAAGGATTTGATTACAGACTCAGTGGTAATCAATATCTCTTTCTCTTTATCATTAAGAGATCTGCAACACATGTTTAGACCTCCAGCCGTTCATAGGTCACTGTCAATTATGGTTGACAAGAGTGTCTTGAAGTTCTCTCCTCTCCTTGCCTACATTTTGTAATTCAACTGTACAAACAGTGGCCACAAAATTAAAACCCTTTCTTCTTTTCCTTCACAGAATGATGTCTTCCATGCAAGCAACACCTCCCTTCCACCCACCATCTGAGGAAGAGGAAGCGATAGGTCAGGACAATGCGCCCTGGGCCAACGACAAGAGAGAGGGCCCAAAGGAGTCACAGTCTCCCTCTTCGCATGACCAACCCCACCCAGATGAGCTGCAGCCAGTCAGAGAGAAGCTGACAGATGTGGAGTGGGAGAATATGGTGCCTACTGCAATGGTGAGATGTGAATTATGCACAGAGCTGAGAAATTTACCATATCTTATCTTGAGATATGTTGCTATAACTCAAATCTATAAAACAAATGTGCTTAGTGTGTGTACACAGTGTCCACACTTAGGGCACACGACTCATAAAACACTCGTGGAAATACATATCAGAGTACACATGGTGTGCAAATTATCATGCATAATGATGACTGTGCACAATTGAATATTCACACCCATGTGAACACATGTATACACACACAAACACACTCACCAGTGGTCTTCTCTGGTCTGTCTGCTGCAGGCAGTGCTGTAGGCAGCCCAGTGAGGGTTCTCTAAAGAGTTATACCCCTTGGTTGTTCCCATCTCTACAGCCTGTTTTAATGTGTGTGTGTGTGTGTGTGTGTGTGTGTGTGTGTGAGGTGTTACATGGCTTCAGGTTCTGTTGGTCCCTAATGGAAGAGGCGTGTTTCACTTCAGCCTCTGAGGAAAAGGGAAAGTTCTGAGAATAAAGTTTCCTTACTTATCAATGTTGTGACAGAATACATTTAACATTTCCAAGACAAAAGTCATTTTCAGTTAAAAGATTTAGAATTTTGGATTGTCTGATATTACTGAAACATAATAATATTTTGTTTTTTAATTTTGAGATTATAACTCAATTTTATTTAAATGTTCTAGGTTCATAATAAGAACTTTAAAGGCAATTAAATGTTAATACAATTATTTGAAAGCATCAGTGTCAGTGTTCAAAGTGGCCTCAAGGCAGAAATGTTCCTGAATAAGAACGCCCACATCTATTTTTCTATTTTACCCTATTCCTTTCTATTTAAAAAAAAAAATAAAAAATTGTTAAGTTGTCACATAGCCTACTGTACACACTCCTGAATGTGACTACTCTGTCTATGGGTAACCACAGGAGGCCCATAGGAACCTTTAAAGAAGTGATTTTTTTCAAGTGTGCTCTGAATTAGAAAAAAGAAAGATATGGAGAAAACATTGTTTTTGGTAGCTGTTTGAAAAAGTGGAAAATGCTGGCTCTAGAAAATTAGGAAGAGGGGTGAAGTGGCAACACCACACACAATAGCATCATATTAATAAAACAGTTATATGGAAGACTAGCTGAGGACAGAAAAGGTTGCTTCTTGTCACCAGCCTCCAACAGTGGAGGACAAAATAAAACAAATATTTGTGGATTTATCTATAGTTTGTCTTGCACAACAAGTCCCCAATGTGAAGAAAGTGTTTTTACACATAATCTTAGTGTGTAACATATTTTTGCAAACTTTTGGGATCAGATAGTTTATAAATTATCCCAAGCTTGTGATATACCTTGTCAAATATTTCATTTTTACAGATCAGTGTTCAGTGCTTTGCTCAATGCTCAATATATTGTTCAATTTACAATATTACAGGGGTAGTCATGGACATGCATTGTTTGCTGCCAACACTTAATGTGTGACCTTTTGGTTTATAATATGATCTGACCATCAGACCTTCCTGCCTGCACCAAACTGCTTGTCAACTCCAAAGCGTTGTGTGTGGACCTGTGTGACACACTATCTCCTAATCCTCATTATAGAGGCATCTTCCGCTTAAAGACAAAGTGCACAACAGAGCCTCCTGGAGCCATTTCAAGGGCGTCTTAAGATCCCGCTGTTAGCCAGAGCCCCTTGTCTTTGAAACATAAGCCTCCTAACATTCTTGGAGATCCCCCCACTCTGTAAGGGGAGGAGAAAGCGTCCAGAAATAGCCCTGGTGTTAGAACACCTGCGCTAAAGTGTCTGTTGTGTGGGACAATGTGGTTGTCTTGAAGAGCTTATCATCTTGGTAAATATAGACTCCTTGTGCCTGTTGCTTAACTCATAAACCAGCAGAGCAAACAACTCTGGTCATCTAGCACAAAATAGAAAGGCCCATTAGATATCACTCGCATATTATCAACAAGTTTTAAGTCACCATCTTTGTGTCACCTTCATTGAAACAGGAATTAGTCCAAATCATGAGGAAAAAAATGTCTTGCTTGAATATTTTGTTACCTTGTTGTCATTGGCCTACGTCTAAACTGCAGTATACGTCAGCAATTCATTCTGCATTCTTTATCAATTTAGTCTTTGCAATCATAAAGCCAGCCATGCCAAGGTAAAACACTGCTAAGCAAGCATCAGCCAAATCCAAAACAACACTGTTAGCACAAACTGTAAAGGAAACAGGTATAAGAGCTGTGGCAGTTATTTTTAAAAATAAGTATATGAAACGGCACAAGTTCTCAGCATGTAAATCACATCCAAAATGCTAGTAATCTAACCTTCATTCTCTTTTTGCTGTCTCTTCCAGGACAATGAAAGCAGTAAAGGCTGCTCAATCTACTCCTACCGGACTAACTCTACCTCTCCACCCAAGCCAGAGGAGTGTTCCAGGGATCGCGGGGAGCCAATAATCGGCCTCACCTTCGGGACGCCGGAGCGTCGCAAAGGTAGCCTGGCGGATGTGGTGGACACACTGAAACAGAAGAAACTGGTGGAGCTGACCAAGACAGAACAAGATGGTAGGCACACACCGTCAATTTCTCAAGACCCCGAGGAGTTTATTCTCTCACATTTGATAGACAGGATGCTGTCGTTGTTCATATACTTTTCACTCTTACAAAAAGGCGAGAACAACCTTATTTGTATTTTTGTTTTCCCTTTGTGAACACATCCTCTCCAGAGGATCTTTGAACATCTAAAATTACAACTGACAGACCCCTCACTTGTTAGATCACAATATCAATCAGTGAAAACACAGGTTTCCCTTTCTCCTCTGCTTCTCTGATCTACACCATTAACGCAGGAAAGTGCTGGAGTCTCCCAGCATGCCTCAGCTTGCCCCTACCCACCCCACAGCAAGCCACATCTAAAACCATCTAACACTCCTTTTACTGTTATGTGCACATAGTAATCATGATGATATCAGAGGAGCGCTTGATCTCTCTCATTTAAAGGTTTTACTTTGTTATTGATACAGTAAAGTGGGGAAGAATGGGACAGCCAGAGGCATAATACAGTACACAGTGTCTTTAGTTGAAAGATAGGTAGCTTTGCCTGTTATCCTTAGTACGGAAACTGGTTTGAAAGGAAAAATTGTTTGTGTGTCTGTGTACGAGTTTTGAAGAGTGTGTTCAAAAGTGTTGTGACATCTACCTGTCAAATCAAAGGGGACATGAGTGGAAGGAAATGCTGGGGGACAACTTTAAGTGTGTGTCTTCTTTTAATTTTTCACATCACATGTATAGGTTTATTCTTTCCCACCAAACTACTTACCAGGCTCGACCTTGCTGAGATTCCTAATCTGCTTCTTTTAATTCTTATGAAGACATTAAAACAAATGTTCCCATTTGCTGCATTTTCTTCTGGTGTAGTCACAGTAAAGATGAACAAACTTCATTTAGTTTTCTCAGGATTTCTTGTTTTTTCATTTTTTAATTATTAAATGTTTTCAGGTCTGTTATTGGACAGGGAATAATTCATGTTTTCATACAACTAATTATTTCATATTGTTGATATCCTTTGTGATCATGTGACTCTTGGTTTTGTTAGAGTGTGTGTATATATTTAATTGTCAACTCTTCCACTCCTGTTTTCTTACTTCAGTGGGAAACAGTATTCATTAAGAAACACTGTATTGAGAATTGGAAGTGTTTATGGTCATAAATAGCGCACAAAGACACTATTTACTAGACACCGTGTGGCAAACATTAAGAATACTTCTAGCTTCAAAATAATAATAAAAAAAACTGTAAAAAGCTAATAAAATATTTATAAAAATAATTAAATGTATGCACTTTCACGTCATTTGAGTCTGTACTACCTAGTGTCTGAAAAAGCTCTAGTTGTGCATAAAGCAAACAGATCAGCAGTGGATTTTACACACAGACACATCACATCACCACAGTTCTTTTGTAAATACAGCCTGATATAATTCATCCAGTTATGCCCAAAATGACTCAGATTTCCTGCAAATTTTCTTTTTAGGAAAAAAACCCCACAGCTTGCAATTGAGTTCGGCTGTTCCTTGCTAATTAGTGGTGCTGCTATCCCCGAGGACTAGTGGCATTGATCATGCTGCAAACACTTAGCAAAGACAAAAACAAATGAGATAAACATGTGCAATATAACCAAGCATACTGAATCATGCAGTGTTAGCATGAATAATAACTCTCTCTGGGCCTTAAACGTTCATGTGAATTGCTGTGGTCCTTGAAGATGCATTGTAAAAATGTCTTTCATGCACTGCTGGGGTAATGCATTTCATTTAGAGCTTAATGTAACTCTAAATATGGAGATTGACAGATACCTCTGCTTTTTTCCAACTAATGAGTTTAGTTAAAATGAGAGGTGATCAATAGATGGCTGAGGATGAATGCTTCATTAAGAGAGTTCTCCTTCAGTTGCAAACAGATACATTCAAAATGTTGAGCGAGAAAGCTCCGCTCCCATTTTCTTTTTCTCATTTGTTAATTTGTTGGAATAGTGCTTCTTCATTTCATTACAGCGTTTTCCGCTTCACAGTATGATGATGGGCTGTTTCTCTTTCCCTTTCTGTTTCAATCCTTGAACTTCAGGAACCTTTGAAATCACTTTTAGCACATTTTTGGAATCCCTCTCCAGCAGTCAACCTTGCTCACGTACTGATTTAAAGCTTTGTTGTTTGTTACTGGTAAAGGCAAAGCATTCCAAATTCACAAGCTGTCAGATTTTTTGTTTTGTTAAAGGAAGGCAATGCAGACAGGAGTGCAAGGCCATCCTGGTAAATAGGCTTATATACTGACTCCTGGTGTGGTACCAATGAGAGATTTTGTGTTTCAAATGTTGCACAGCAGAAAGCTCCACAGGTTTATTTTGTGTTTCTTTTTTCCTGGCTCTTTACTGGCCTTGACTTAGACTCTTAAAACATGATTTTGTTCAGAATCGTCTTACAGTACGATCAGATTTGATCATCGGCACTCAAATGGCAAGCACATTAAAGCATGAACAATGCTGTTCCTTGCCCTATCCTCCGCCTCCTGCTGAAAAGAGTTCAGTCAGCTGAGCTCTCCCAGGTTAGATTGGTTGTATGATCAAATGGAACAGACCCTATTAGCCACTGAGTGCTCACTTAGCCTAACATCGCTGACCCTTCTCTGCAATGTAGCCCTGAGCTAAAGTGTGGATGATGTCGTTGTTAGCCTTCGCGCTGTGCTCACCCCCTGTTGGCACGCTGTTAGCTGTCCGCTACTCAGAGGAGCCCTAAGTGCCTGTGACAGTTCTAATGAATAGACATGGCCTTGCTTTGCAATGTGGGAGATTTTTTTTACCCAACTGCCGCCTCAGCTTTTAAAAGCTTTATCAAGAACTCTTTAAGATTGTGTCAGCTCGCTGTATTACCACACAGGTGGTTGCTGCAAATATGTCCTTTCTGCCTGGACTTTCACAGCATACAAGCCAAGAGGGTTAGGGTCAGACATTTTCTTGACAACTTTGCATTTATGTTGAGTTGTGCCTGCATTGTGGGAAGGTTTAGATACAAAGGCTTACTACATACAAAGGACTTCCTCTATACTGTTAAAGCACTTATTAAAGGACTGGTAGGCTGCTTACTGAATAAAAAATGTTCAAGGCCAGGATGAGGGAACATCAGAAGAAAAAATGTGGGCACCAGACATGTTGTGGAATGGAAACGCTCCTCTGTCATTTTGTCGCTAAAAATAAGAGATAGAGATGGGACATAAAAGCCTGTAATAAACAGAAAAATAACCCGAACAATAACCTGTCACTTAACATTGATGGAGGCCTCGTTAGCGATCGTTAATCTGAATTCACCTTGTCTCCTTGAGCCCTCGATATAAAAAGGGATAAAGCAGTCAGGAGTGGATACATTTATCTGAATGCAAAACCAAACCCTTCTGGGAGGCTGCGCAATGGACATTAAAACCAGTGAAGTGTGCAATCAAGCTCCCTCAGTTTTGATCACAGAATTATCATTATCTGTATTGTTGTGTCTCCCGGGGACCAACCCACTGTTAACGGACCTGGCATGGGCACGGTGCCCCCATGCCAACTTAGTCAGCAATCTAATGTGCCTAGAGCAGCTCTGGCGCCTGGCAAACACTTGACATCACTCTAATCCTCTGCTTACACCTGAGCCCGTATGAATTACTGTACAATTCACGTGTTTCATTTGCAAATGAGCTCAAGCTCAATTACTGCTACACTGTACACTGGTGATAAAACGGACACCTGTGTGACTAATTTATGAATTTTACTAAAGTATTTAAATTAGACTAGAGGAAAGTCTCAGGAGATATCTTCTCCTAAGTGCTACGGATGATAAAAGAACGTCACATCTGCTGTTGTCTTAGTCTAAGATGAAAGCATGTAGACTGACTGGATTGAACATGGCTTCAAGTCAGACAGTGTGCAATATTTAAATTTGACGGGACATTGCTCTCTCATGTTTTTTCATGATTGCTGAACATTCACAGTGTTGAGAGGCAGTCTGACACTATTTCACAGTTACCCATCAGTCAAAAGAGGTATTGATGTAACACAGTTGTAAACAATATAATTTAACAAAATGGATTCAATCCAATGCATTAAAACTGCAACTCCATATACAGTATATGTAGATTTTTATTCTGTTTTAGATCCCCAAAACAAAAAATTTTTGATCAGCAGACTTTGTTGCCTCCTCAAGGCATACACTAGGTATTAAAAAAGCACCACTGTGATACATGATGATACAATTTCAGATTTGTGCACACCAACTGCCCCTCCCATCATATGGAAATGGGCAAAATCACAACTTCCAATCTGGCATTAGTGCCAACACAATGTGACAGTGCATGTTTGAGATCCAACAAACCCAGCTTTCTTTTCATAAGTTATCATGACTGCCTCGAATTGATTTATTTTTTCAGAAACTTGAACATGTAATTAAGTGCAAAACATTAGCCATTTTCCCATTTTGTTTGCACAATGTTCTGTTTCAGCTGGAAATATGTGGAATTATAAAAGCAATGCACAATTAAAGGCCCTTTAAACATGTTTTCTCAATAAGCTTCTTGTGATGAGAAATGGGGTCGTACATGAATTTACACTGCAAGAAAACAGTTTGGGGTTATTTCTGTATTTGTGTCCTCTCGCTGTTTTCTTGAATTGCCTGGCCATTGTCAGTCAAATCAGATCAAACCACAACCACAAAGTCCAGATGAAGCTTTTAGCTTAGTTTTTAAGTTTTTCCTTATAGTTTGCTTTTTATGAACATGTCTAGAATCAAAGCCATTGAGTCTTAAGTCTAGCAAATAAATTGCGCTGTACACTATGTACCAGGTATAATCAATACAGTAATGGGAAACAAGTTTGCAGCTGACTGACTGTATCCTGTCTTGTGACCTCTAGCAGCAACCTTTTTATGAGCCTTGTCCTTCTACTGTGTGTTTAAGTCTGTGTTGTCCAGTTTGGAAGAGTCTGCACTGTGTCTTGAGTTGAGGCCAGGCCAGAGCTGGGTACCCAATCACCCATATAATGG